TTAGTTTTTTTTAACCCGCAATCCTATCCCGCCTCCAAAGGACCCATAATAAGGGAGCCTTGAACCTCGACTTAATGAGCTTCCTCCCACTAAATCAAACCTTTGAGTGTATACAAGTCTTTTCTTGAATCATCACAAACTCCCCAATCCAAAACAAGGATTCGACTCACCATGGAAATCCCAGGCAAGAAAATTAAGCTCAGTTTTCATATATGACGCATTTTGAATCTTATACAAGCTGTACAAAATAAAAGTTGAGGCACTTCCCTATGTTGATCCCAGATGACATATAACTTTAGTAATTGGAATATTATTTAGAATTTAGAAAACTAGAGTCCATTATGTTAATATTGTTCTTTATTGCATGAGAGTATTAATTGGTGAGTGGATTATTTATTCCATGGAAACGAAATTTCAATGTTTAGTTGATGAGACAAGCTAGCTAAAATTGCTTTGTTCCAACTTGAAACNTATTGGATAAATACACCCATGATGAAGGGGTGTGAGAAGTGGTAACTGCCTTTGGTAGTTTCTCACGAACCGTTCCCATATAAAAGGAAGACTTTTCCTTTTAGAAAAGGTTACACACTGTCACTCTCAAATATTCAAAAGGAAAATACGCTCTCTCTCTCTAGAATTTGGAAAACAGAAACATTCTTCGTGGTTTTCTTCCAGATTACTTTGTTGCTTCAGAGATAAGGAAAGGAGGTATTTATGCTGTGTAAATTCGTTGTAGTTCATTTATATACAAATGTGATTGCAATGGTGACTATGATCTTGGGATTATGTTAGGGTATATGTTATTCTATTTAATTTCCAACAATAACGAAGCCAAAATTTAGTTTGGGCAGCGACAACTTAATTGATAATAAATTAAAATATTAAAAAATATATAATAAAGGAGAAAATTAATTCATAAAATAGTTATGTTTAATAAATTTGATAGTAAATTTTTACGTTCATAAAAGATTGAATTTCTCTTTAAGAAAATACTTGATATTTTTTTTTCTTAGATTATAAGAAACCTTGAAGCATTTTATAGAAAAAAAGTATTTTGATAACACTAATACTACTCTTACAAAATTTACATACAAAGTTAAATATACTAAGTGATGTGACATTATTTATTAATTAATTTACACATCACTTTGCATACAAGATTTTGCATATACATTTTGTAAGACTAGTATTATTGTTCTAGTCTTTAATAAATGCATATTAGGAAGAGGTTTAAAGTATTTTCTATAAAGAAAAAAATAATTTATAACAAAGCATCTTGTACAGAACTAAAAAGGTCTTATTTATTAAAGCAAATGCATATGTATGGTAAATTATATTTTGTTGTGTTCTTTATGCAAATATATATGGAGAGAAAAAGAGTGAAATTAGAAATTTATTTGGAACTTGAGAAAGAAAAAAAAAGTGATTCAAATAATATATCTTCTGGGGGATGAAACACGCTTTAATACAAGCACTTAAAATGCCTAAATTCTTTGAAGTCAAGCATGCGATTTGGCAAGATTTTGCTTGTACAGACAGGAAAACTAATTATATAATTAGTAAATAGAAAGCTTCTATAACCTTTTTTCATAATCAGCAAACAAAAATAACATCAAGTCTTCATAGGTAGGAATACCTTAAATCCTAATCTTGGAAGTCGTAAATAGAAATTGTTTAGGCACCAACCAAGAAACTTAAATCAATTTATATTACATAACACCGCGGATCCAATAGTTAATATGCACCCAAATTTTCTTTTGTTGAATAAAATACAAATTTCTATTTAATTTTTATTTTCATTTTCTTCTTTCTGCCTTCTCATGTCAATACATATCATAATAGAATCTCAAAGAGAAGCCAAACTCCGTAAATCATAATTGCTTGGCATTTCAATTAAGAGTGGTGATATCATGCCTATACAAACCCTTGTATACAAAACTAATGTAACACAACTCTTTTATTATCACATCATTCATCTATATTAATTAACGAGTAATGCTATGTGCACTAACTAATGTGTACTAATCTAAGTACTAACATTGGAAATTTGAAATTCTCTCCAAAAAAAAATTTTAAATTTTCAGTGTTAGTACTTGGATTAGTACTCATTGGTTAGTGCACATAATTTTATTAATTAATTAACATTTATTGAGTTGATTTTGTCGCTTTTGTTCGCTTTTATACCACATTTGTTTGTATGAACAAAATTGTATACATTTAGCATTATTCTTCCATTAATGAGTCAAAGTCAATAATAATTATAAAGGAAAAGTTTTCAAAGTCAATAATAATTGTGAACGCTTACCAAATTTTTCCAAACTAGGCCCCTGCAGATGCAGTTTCATTTTCTCTAGAGGAATTCTGCCAGATTTTCTCCAAAAACTGACTTGACCATCAAGCTGGCAAAGGAAATTAGAAGTCAATAGCCGAAATTATTGGCTGGAAACATAAATCAAGGCAAGAAACATGATGAACGAGAGGTGTTTGAGATCTGGAAACATGATCCTGTGCAACATGCATGATTATCATTTTATTCAATAACTCAAAAAGAATTATTGTTTGGAATTTCCAGGACTAAGTAATACTTCACGAAGTACTCCAAGTGCTTCTTTACTTTCATAAATATATATCGCATTACAAATGAATAAGAAATTGCGTCAACTTATATGCTTCAAATCCATTAACTCAGTAAATGGACTTTGGCTGGAGGATGATATTATTGTCTGGAGTCTAAAAATGAGAATATGTGTAGATTAGATTCTACTGGAGAATATCTACACAGTTACGCCTAAACAATTATAATAAGTTTCACAACAAACTTGATTAGAAGGTGAGATATGATAAATTCGTGAGCTTCACGCAACAACGTATCTATTTTTTCAGAATTTGTATTTGTCACACATCACCAAGTTGCTATGTCATTATGGGTGTAAGTTTATACATGTTTTTCAGATATTTGAGTCTTGAGATAGCTTTTGGGCGTAAACTCTACTCACCGCATATCAGCCTAATATTTTTTTCTTTTTTTTTTTTTTTTTAATTAAAGGAAACACAGTGATGTAAGGACCTTTGAAGAGATCTCGACTTCCCATATTTCTTTCAGCTGAATGATCCGAGCATGAAGTTTTGCAGAAGTAATGAATTATTATAACGTAAAGTAGACTTGAAGTTGGCAATTGGACAGGAATTTAAAAAGGTTTCGCCAATTGCTATGTAGCACTCTATGAGTACGCAATTGGGGCCTTAGTACTGCTGAGCCATCAAATGAACTGACTGGACCCCTTCCTCTCATCACTAACATTTCCTCTTTCTTGGATTTTACCAGCAAAGGGTTCCAGATTTCCTGGGGTATAATGTGACTCTGCATCATAAATTATAATGTCAATGTCGGTGCTTTCTTCAGTGTAATTTCGTAGCCCTGAATTTGGGTAGACGTCCTACTTTCTTTTATCTTTTTTTCAAGTCTTTTGTATCAACATCAGTAAGAAAATATTCGTCATATTAACAGTAAAAATAAATATTTTTTTCTTCGATTTAAACCAAATAGAAAGTTAAAATCATTTTAATCAACATGTACTTAATAAAATAGTTAAAAGACGGAACAAATGTGGGTTAGCTAAAATCCATAAGGAGGTTGCTTAACATGATGATATTTTATGTTTAAATTTTAACAAGAACTGGCATTGGTTATGTTACGAAAATCTAGTTCAAAGTCGTAAATTAATGGCAAACGTAAATCAAAAGTAAAAGAGAAAGTGAACTGCCATAAATAGGAGAATAAAGAAATCATTATCAAAGTAAAAGGAAGAGGAAACCAAGGGAAGAAGTAAAGAAAAAGAGAAGGAATTGGAGAGGAAAAAGGATAAAATGAGACAGGAAATCGCCCGGAAACAGTCAGCATTTCGTTTACAAGAGAAGGAAAAGAATTACTTAATTTTAGGGAAATCGTGTTATAGAAAGAGAACAAACTGGTTTATTTAACTATTCATCCATCCACAAAATGATGAAAGATGATATTAATTATTTAAAATTTTGTTTGTGCATTATGATACTTAATTTCTGAGATGGAGACTTGACAAGTTAAAGTGCATGGTTTATTTATTTATTCTTATGATTGCTTCCTGGAGGTGAAACACTACATATAAACAGAATCAATGGGAAAGCCTTTTGGAAAATCATGCATGAGGACATAACTTTGGGTGTAAAGAGAAGGAAACCCATGCACAAAGTCTATAAAGAATCTTTGAAAATGAAGGTAGAGGACAATGAAATGTCTTGATCAAGAAAGAACTTAACTCAAAAGTTATTCAGTATCTTATAATTCAATCGGCCTTTCTATTGCCTGGAATCCAAGAAAATGGCTAGTGTTTTTCTTTTATTATTAATCCACTTAATGTGGATCAATTGGGTATTCCAGACTGGATATAAATTTGGTCATAAAGAAGAGGTAATAATTTTTCGTCCTTATGGTTTAAGGAAAGTACATTTAAAACTTAAATTCTTAATTTTCAAATAAAAATATAAAAAATAAAAATCTGAATTTGAATTTGAGTTTGAGTGTGAGTTTTCAAAAATCATAACTAATTTCAATGAACTTTCCAAGAAATTAAGTTCAAAATTTCAGTTACTTTTTAGGTAAATTTTTTACCCTTGCCCCTGACCTTCAATTTTCATTTAATAGAAATGATTGGAGGAGTTATTTACTATAAACATATTCTATGAAAATAGTAAACACGTTCTTGGAAAAAGATACGAAGATACTAAATACGTTCCTGAAAAAAGATATGTGGTTACCAACTATTATAAATAAATGAACTCTTGATACACTGTTCTCACCTGAGACTTTTCTACTCAAATAAATTGTCCACAATTCTCTGTTATTTTTTTAAACTTTTCTTGATTGATTTGTAGTTACCATCTCAATCCATTATTTTGTTCAACTACTTTATTTTTGTTCATCCAATTTACACCATTCCAGAACTTTTCAACCCTCCATTACCATGTCTTTGAGGTTTCGAAAACCCAACGAACCAGAAATATGTGACCAAGAACATAGTCTCTTGGCTCTGGCAAAACTCCAAAAGAGAAGGTGGAAGTTGGCTTTTGATGTCATTCGCTTCACCAGGGCTCTTGCTTCTTTGCCAAAGATAGCTGTAGACAACAATAAACAAATCTTGCGGTCCCTCTCTTATGTTGCCATTGATATCGGTAGAGCATTGCCACACGATGACGTAGGAGTTAATTTTCTCGACATTGATCAGAAAATACTCACTACCATGGTGAAAGAGAAGAACTTCGAATCTTTGAACAATCTGGGAGGAGTGAAGCAAGTTGCTACAATTCTTGGAACCGACGAAAAGAATGGTGTCCCAGGTAATGAGGCTCAACTTCTGCATAGAACGAATGTTTTTGGTAAAAACTGTTATAAAAAGCCAAATGCAAAAAGCTTTCTTAGTTTTGTTTATGAAGCATTCAAAGATACTACCATTGTCATACTTCTAGTCTGTGCAATACTTTCTCTAGCCTTCGGAATTAAAGAAGATGGCCTGAAAGAAGGGTGGTATGATGGCAGCAGTATTATATTTGCTGTGTTTTCGGTTGTAATTGTCTCTGCCGTGAGTAACTTCAAGCAAAATAGACAATTTGAAAAGCTTTCTGATGAGAGTGCTGACATAAAAGTTGAAGTAGTGAGAGATGGCAGGCGTCAAGCTGTGTCAATCTTTGAAGTTGTAGTGGGTGATGCTGTGTGTTTGAAGATCGGCGATCAAATTCCAGCTGATGGGTTGTTCTTGAATGGTTACTCCTTGAAGGTGGACGAATCTAGCATGACTGGTGAAAGTGACCATGTTGAGATCAATGGCAGAGAGAATCCTTTCTTGCTTTCTGGCACAAAGGTCACAGATGGTTATGGTTCTATGCTCATCACTTCTGTGGGTATGAAAACGGCATGGGGAGAGATGATGAGTTCTATTAGCCGTGACTTGGATGAGCAGACTCCACTGCAAGTTCGCCTCAAAAAGCTGACTTCCTATATCGGAAAGATTGGATTGGCAGTAGCTGTGATGGTCCTTCTTGTTATGTTGATTCGTTACTTCACAGGCAACACCACAGATGAAAGAGGAGATAGAGAATTCAACCGCGACAAGTCAAAGTTTGACGATGCAATGAATGCAGTTCTGAGAATTATTGCTGCAGCAGTCACAATAGTGGTGGTTGCAATCCCTGAAGGTTTGCCTCTGGCTGTTACTCTCACTCTGGCATACTCTATGAAGCGTATGATGGCAGATAATGCATTGGTTAGAAAACTCTCTGCTTGCGAAACGATGGGATCCGCCACAACAATCTGNAACCTTGTTGCTCAGGCTTTGTATCAAGTAATTGTGCTATTAATTCTGCAGTTCAAGGGAAGATCCATCTTCAGCGTGGACGAGAAGATAAAGAACACAATGATATTCAACACATTTGTCTTCTGCCAGATCTTCAATGAGTTTAATGCAAGGAACCTGGAGGAGAAGAATATATTCAAGGGACTGCACAAGAACAAACTCTTTATTGGGATTGTTGGGACTACACTAATTCTCCAAGTCTTGATGGTGGAGTTTCTGAACAAGTTTGCCAACACTAAGAGGCTGAATTTGGAGCAATGAGGTGCCTATGTTTGCATTGCTGCTATGTCCTAGTTGATTGGTTGGCTCGTGAAGTGGGTTCCAGTTTCTGGAAAACAGATTCTCTTCTTTTCCAAGCAAGGAGCATCTGCAAATTGAACAATTTATCATTGTCAGAGTCCGAAGTTTTTTATTACAGGACAGATTTATTCTGTCCAAAAAATACAGATTTCCCTTGACTTTCAATGTTAAATTGAATACTATTTCAATCATAGATAGTCATCCAATATGTATATCAGGATCACCAATACACAAATGCATTATAAGTTCTTCCAGACTCGTATATTTCATGTGGTGGGTGCTTTTCACATACATAATCTGCTCAATGACTAATTTCACACTCAATTTATTGAAACATATGATTAACCAAATAAAAGTTTTACTTAGGCCGAAAGAAAGATAGAGACACAGATGGCAGAGTGGTGCTTTTGACTTAGCTTTTCTTTTCCAACAAAAACTTTTGATTAATGACTACAACCTTGGAAAGTTTTTGGTACCAAAAAGCAGTTTTACGCATCATGCAATAACATAATCAATACATATCGAATTCATCACATCCAAACATTATAAAATAGCGTAAACAGCATAAACCTAGCTTTGATACCACCCATGGATGTCTAACCAAGAAGATAGCCCAATGGCAAAATGCTAATAAGTTATGTGCAGTATATGATGGTGGAAGCATACTTTTTGCTGTCTTTCTATCTAGTCGTAGTGCTCTCTTTTGTGAGTAACTTTAAGCAAAATACACTATTTGAAATGCTTTTAAACTACCCAAGATGATTTTTTAGTGTTTAATTATAACAAGAACTTGTTGGAGTTGTCGACCACTTCAACAATAAGGGGTCAGACAGATGTATTCGGGGGGTTTTTTTTCCATGAAGAGCTGCTAAAAGATTTCTCTAAGTTATTAATTCATTATTGGGTTTGGGTTTAGAACATGAATATTTTAATATTAGGTTTTAGTTTTTAAACCTAGTATATAAACATATTTTTCTCTTGTATGAGTGTTTTAGAAAATCATAAAACAAATTACATTCATTGTAAACAAGAGAGGTGAGACAATATTGCAATAATATTGACTCTGTTGGACGTAGTCTGTTAACCATGGTAGATCATGCGTATTTCTTCCATCTCTTTACTGTTTGTGGTTTGTGTGTTTACTGTTTTTTGTTTCGTATTACTCTCTATTTATGTCATGGATGGAAATCAAATCAAAAGTTTAAATGAAGTCTTTAAGTTAATGGCAAATGTAAATTAATTAAGCAACCACCATTCAGCTCTCTGATAAATATAGCACCAGGCAAGCTGCCTGCTTCACAAATAAAACATTCGGTTAAGTGGATTAATAAAAACATATATTATAATAAAAGAAAAAGAATTAAACTGCAGAAAAGAGTGAAGAGAATAAAGAAAGGAAACCTTGAGAAGTAAAGAAAAAGAGAAGGAAATGGAGAAGACAAGGGCAAGAAAATTGATGGCAAATAATCAGCATTTGGTGACAAAAAGAAGGAAACTACTTCATTTTAGGGGAAGAGCGGTGATATATGTACAAATTAAATATATCTATACAGTGATGATACATATACAAATTAGATATATAAATTAATTTATACAGATTGATGTGACATTACTCTTTAATTAACATATCGAATTTATTGAACATTTAATAAGTTCACTTTATATGTATTAAACCATTTATTTTATGACCCATGCGTTTGATGGAAAAAGTTGTATAAAGAAGTTTTACATTGATTTTATTTTTAGGGGAATTGAAGTAAAGTAAGATTCAAAATTTAAGTATTGTGAATATCCGTCTACAAGTATACCATAACCCATGTTTAAGATATTAATTATCATGTCCGAAAGTCGTAATTGCTTCTGGGTGGTGAAACACGTACATAGAAACAGAATCAATAGGAAAGCCTCTTAAAAGTGGCGCATGGGACATGATTTGGCTGTAAAGAGAAGTAAAGCACATGTACAAAGTCTATCTGTCTTGATCATGGAAGACCTCAAGTCAATAAGTCCTTTTAATATCTTAACATTCATTCTCCCTCTATATCACTCTTTCACTTTCTCTCCAACAAATTTTTTACCTGGTATTTTGACCATGTCGTACCAATATAATTTTAATTTAAGTTCCTAAAATTTTAAAATATATTAATAATCATTTTTTTTAAATGAAAAAGTTTAAAATATGAAGAAAAAAAAGCTCAAAGAAAACAAAAACTTGAGATGCTTCGATCATTTTAAAGAACTTATTGCAGGGAAGAGAAATTTCTAACTTAAAGACCAACTTAGAAAGATTTAGGAGAAAGAAATATTTGAAGAAAGACTATTATTGATTTCAGGGACATAACCATAATTTTGAGTGAGTGGGTTCAAAACATTTAAGTTAAGGTTTCAAAATATCAAGTAATTAAACAACATATCAAAATTAAAATAAATCTCCAAATCTCTACAGTTTTAGGTTTCATCAATTCTTTAAACCATTCAAAATTAACTCAATAACTAACCAAAATTTATCAAACTCAACTTGAAAACAACTAATTAATTCATACCTCACATAAACAAAATTAAATGAAAACCCTAAATCTCTACAACTTAGGGTTTCATTTGTAAACCCTAATTAACTATAATTTGTAAAATGTCCAACTCTAAATATCAAGCAATTAACCAATATATCAAAGTTAAACCAATCCCAAATCTCTACAACTTAAGTTTTCATCAATTCTTTAAACCATTCAAAATTAACTCAATAACTAACCAAAATTTATCAAACCTAACTTAAAAAAACAACTAATTAACTCATAGCTCAACATAAACAAGATTAAATCAAAACCCACATCAAAATCTAGGAATTTAATCTTCAAATTTCAAACTCATTTATTAAACTCAACTAAAACTCATAGCTCATGATTCATAAGTTGTGTAAATTGAGTGTTTTTAGGTTTGTTTTTATAGCAGTTTAGTTAATTTTTCATTCTTTTTTTTTTTTTTTATGTTAGTTTTTGTTAAGTTTGAGATGTGAATGGTCAGCTATTGAGCTGGATAGTTTTTGTGTTTTTCAAGCTTTGATTAAGTAGATTGAAGTATTGGAATGAAATTGAGACTTAAAGCTTGAAGAATTTGAGATTAGCTGATATTTTTTAAGGCCACGGCCATGGTGGTGGAATGAAGATAAAGCTAAGAGTACAGAGAGCACCACAGCCTAGGTCATGGTGACTTAAATTTGGTCACAGCCAGAGTTGTGGTTGAAACTATTAGGGCATTTTTTTTTTTTTTTTTTAAGTTTTTCTTTTCTTTTTTACTTAGGACTCTTTTGGGTATATAAGTATGATTGAGATTAATTAACAGAAAGAGGATGAATTTTGCATATTTTGGAGAGTAGAAGACGCATTCTTGAGGCTTGAAGACTGAAGATCAGATTTAAGAGTTTGATTTTTGTTTATTTTCAGGTCTGAATATGTTTTCTTTATTCTCTGTTTATTTCTTTGTTCTTAGGATGGAGTAAATTTCTTTTGTTAGTGGAAGATGAAACCCTAATTATGTTTTGAACAATTTTTATTCTTAATACCAGATTTATGTTTATGAATTTGTGCAAGAGTTTAGATTTAATGATTTAAGAAATTTTGGATTGATTCATGATGATTTGAATAGAGAATTTAGGGTTTATTGCTTAATTCATATTCATAATTGTTTTATTGGAATAACATTGCACAACATATTAAAACTAGAAGTAATCGAATAGAGATTATAGGATTAGTTTGTGGTCCACCTAATTCATAACTGAGTAAAGCAAATTAGTCATCAAGGATTAATAAATTTATGCTTCTTAATTTCAGAGTAACCAAATAGGGAGTTGTATTAAGTTGAATATTATGCCTAAACAAGGATAATTGACCTTAGAAGAATCCTACAAATTCATAGCACAAATGTGTATTAAGAGTAGTTGTCGTGCGTAATTAGGGGGAAATTTGTACCCTAACTTCATTAATATTGAAAAGTTCTTCACATTGTTTATTTGTTTAATTTAATTATTTTTAATCCGTTAGTTTTCCACTCGAAAATTTTGTTTTCTCAAATAACATGTAGGTAGTTTTAGGTAATTACAAATAATTGCTTTGATCATTGTGGGACGATACTCAAACTCATCACTTTATTACTTGAACATGACTAGTGCACTTGCTAGGGTTGATTTAGTCACATTAATGATCTTTTATCAATTAAGAAAGCTAAAAGAAAAGAATTTTAAGTAAAAAAAAAAAATAAATGAGCATCATCTTACCTTGTATTCAAAAGGAGTAGCATTTCTTGAATATCCAACCAAAGGAAAAAGATAATATGAAAGAAAGGAGAGGAAATCAAGTGAGAAAAGTTAAAAAAATGTTAATTAATAATTTATTTTTGTGGGGTCAACATGAATTTCAATGGGGTTAAAGTTGTAAATTTCATAAAACATAAAGACTTTTTTTATATTTTTTAAAAAGTTGAATGGATTCAATTGAACCCACATATTTGTATGTGGCTACGTGCTTGATTGATTTCACAGTTTGGTTTGTACAAAATGGCAAAGACTAAAATCCTTTATATAAGGGTCGAAGGTTTCTACATACTAACTTTCACCAATCAATTCCCTCGTTAATTACATGTACCACTTTTGTTTATAAATTATGTTTACTAACTACCTGTTAAATGATATTTTACATGATTTACATAAGTCACTCTAGATACAAGTAGACCTAGCAAAATGAGTCCGGACTTGTGAGTTGACCCATACCTAGGTAAAAAATATAGGGTACTGGTCTATTACATTAGACTCGTACCCAGCCTGGGTCGTTTTGCCAATGGGTGAGGTGAGTACACCCGCGGGTACTCGCGAGTACCTGTTTACTATTTAAAAAAAAAAAACCCTCTAATATCTAAATTGAAAATTTGAAATCCCTAACCCTAAGTCCCTAACTCATCTCAACATCTCC